AGAATTTCCTGGAGTGGAGTATGAGGCAAGAAGGTAAACGTGAAGCCTAGTTTGTACTTGTGAGTACTGCTAACCCCCATTCTAGTTCCTTCATTGATGAACCAATGAGTTGTAAGGACCACACACATATAAACACGTACACACAGAGGTAAATCAGGTCAACCATCCTTAACGTCTGCCGAGTCCAGGTCTCAAATTGTGGATTAGTATCACATAGCAAGGAAATTAAGGATTTTACAGAATGTTATTCTCCGAGTTGGATTTTGAGGACCATGAAGCCAGATCCCACTCTGTTAACCTATACTGTACCAGTTTCTGCAACATCATTACAATGGAAGCATGGAACTTCTCTAATGTTTTAACAATACTGAGGTCCATTTCTTGGGAATGACAGGAGAAAATGTGGTAATGGCAGTGCTGCAATGTGATAGGCAATTCATCAGTCAGCTCAGTCTACTGAGCATATTCCATACACACATCCACTTCACTCCCATTCTATGCTCACTGAGCGATTTTCTGACATAGGAAGCTACCAACCAGGAAAACGAATGATGCTGGTTTTTATGTCATCTTTCCTCCCAAACTAAGTCAGAAAATTAGTATTCTGGTTTAGAAATTAGTGTTTTCCAAGTTCAAACAGCATGAATTGGTCACTCTGAACTTGACTGAATCTGAGTGTACTGGGTTCCTGGACTTAGAAAACAAAGGACTTTGATTCCCAGGACACTAGCTGGTAGCAGGCTACTGCCTGAGAGTCAGCTGGCTGACCATTCTTTTTGATATCTTTCAAGGTGCAACAGAGCCTGAGAGCAGAAGGCAAGAATATATAAAGCCTTCCCAGTTATTGGTGGTGGTGGTTGTGGGGTGTCAGGCACAGTCCATCACCAAACAAGCAAGCAAAAAATCAAAGAGAGAAGCACAGTCTGTAGTCTGCAAACTCCCTGAGGGAAAGGATAGAATCTTATCATTGCTTACTCAGCCGTTAGCATAATGCCTGACACAGAGTAGGTGCTGCTCAGTAACTATTTGTTGAATAAGTACATGAGTGAATGGATCAATGTTAATGAACATGGAAGGCACAGAAAGTGCTTCAAGCCTGGAAACTTTTATTAAGGGAAGGAGAGGATGTGAGGCACTGCTTGCACCTGGTCGTAGTTAACACCTAGCAATGGTTATCATACTAGTAACTGACTATAAAGTTATTGCTTCTATAAAAGCTCTATTTAGTGTTCCTTTCTAGTTACCCAGGAGCATGGTCAATCCAGCAAAATTAAAAATGGGTAAGCTCAAGTATTTGGTCTCTGGAGAAGAAATTACCCACCCCTTATTTCTTGGTTCTGCTTACTACAGATATTTTTTAATAGGTTAGGCAGATTTTAATAGGTTAGGCAGAATAGATTATTTCTCTATGCCTGGTGCCTTTCTAAGTGGAAGCTATACAATATATTTCATATATCTGTGATTATTGGGTTATTGGATTATTCAGGTTTTCTTAGGCCAATTTGAGTACTTTTATTGTGGTAAGAAATCCTCTATTTCCTCTAGATTTTCAAATCTGCATAGAGTTTGCCTGCTATCTTAAAATTTCTTTTAAAATCTCTATCTCCTTTCTTATTTCTAATGCTATGGGTATTTTCTGTTTCTGTGGTTTTTTTAAACCTGTTCTTCCAGGAGGCTACTCACATGTATACACTTTTACTGCATTTTTTTGTGGGGGTGTTAAGAACAGGCCTTTTCATTTCAATAAAAATTCATTAAACTCAGCTTCTATCTTCATTATCCTCTCTTTTCTATTTTCTGATTTTGGTTGTTCTTTTCCTATTATTTTGAATATTTACCTATTTATTCTCAGTATTTATTTTTAACAATAAAAGTACTTAAAGCCATACATTTTCCTCTGAGTACAATATACTGACTGCCAGTTCAACTTTTGGAAATTTACTCCACAGAAATAAAAGCATCAGCATACAATAATGTAAAGCACCAGAATGCTTGTTATAGCTTTTTTCATAGTGGTAAGGGAACAAGCAAATAAACAACCCCCCCCCAGGGTACAGCCTAGATGTCCATCAATACTGCAATGGTTGACTCAGGTATATCAGAGGCTCACTATAGAAGATTATCTTGTCATTTAAATTTGTGTGTACTGCTCTGGAGGGATGCTCATAAAATGTGTAAAACAAAACTGCAGAGTAAAGTCATCTGTAGAATTCACTTTTGGAAAAAAAAAAAGTACATAAAACAAAACAGACACCAGGAAGTATTTTGTTCATATATATACATACACTTGTGTGTGTGTGTGTGTGTGTGTGTAGTGTGCATTTCAGATGTGAAAAATAATATGACCAAATCTACTTGGTTATTTTCAAGGAATGAGTCAGACGTGGTGAAGAAGAGAATGAACCTGTTTTTCATACATCTCTGCATCAGTTAACTTGTTCAAACAAGAATTTATTACTTCTATAAATTGAAACATACAATTAAAAAGATGATAGTCTACTGACACTACTTTGAAATTCTGGTGTTAATTCTAGGAGCCTATTTTAAAATTTATTGACTAATCTCCCTGTATTATCTTTACCATAGCTTTTCTATCACATTCTTTGCAATATAAATCATTACTGTGAAAATTTCTTCTAAGTACAAGCCAATTAATAGGTTAAGACCTATACTGCTTTCATCTTCATGTATTTTTCTATATGATTATGTTGATACTTATTGAAACTATGGATTGCTATTATACAAAATCTCTAGAAGGCCTCCTGAAGAATTTCCTTCAATAGTAAACTTGTTGAGAGCTGAAGAAGTGAAAACACTAATCAGGTAGAAGAAGATTTAAAAAAAATAAATAAATGGGGTAAGGATGTTCGCGTCTCTCATAATATAAAAGGAATGCAATGTTAATTAACAGCTGTGGAAAGACTCAGGCCCTTGATTATGACGGAAAAAGCTGTTTTTTTTTAATTATACAAATTGAGGTGTTTGTGAAGTTACACAAAACAAAAGCAAAAACAACAACAAAATTAACTGTACCTTTTTCTTGTAGTATTTTCTTGGTGGTAGCTTGACGGTGGCGAGGAGATTCTTCCATATCATGATCAGATTTTGAAGGTGAGGAGAGTGAAGTGTCTCCCCCAGTAGAGGAGGAAGGGTCCCTTTCTGAGTGCAGCGGTCCTTCTTGAAATTCAGCTATGAGGTCAGGTGAGAAGGGCACATTGCCAGCCACTGGAGTGAGGGATGGAGCACTAGAACCTGATTCTGGAGTTCGCAAACCCTTGGGCAGAAGTGATTTGGTAACATACATGTGGTTACAGAAACTGTTTGAAGGCTGTTGGTATAAGAGATTATAAAGGAGGTTATGCCACTGAGCATCAGTCCCATATAATACTTACTTTGAAATCAGATTGACCTTTTTTTAGTCACCAACTTTTGTTGGTTTACAGTTGAGATTGCATAGTTCACAACATTTCAACATATTACTATTGCAGCTAACATAGACACCTAAGACATTTAGAAACAATTACTTGTACATTCATTATTTTCCACCAGGTAAAATCAACAGCTGAGTATCAAAAGCACCATCATGAAAAATGACAATATGGATAATGCTCTTGGTTAGTTCATTGAATGAGTACAGAAAGAATCTGAATTACAATAATACATCGAGCTGAGTAAGAACTTGCGAGACGAAGAAGTGAACTATTCCACCTGTTTCCAACGAGAGCACAGAATCTGGTTGCAGGAAAATCATTTTCTTCAGTAAGCTGTGGGAACAAGCAGATAGCCCAACCTCGCAAGTCAGAATACGGTCAGGGGTGCTCACCTTTCGCTCCAGACTGTCCTCCCCATCTGTTGAACTGACACTATCATAGAGTCTTGTCCTAGAGGGCCTCTGGCGTCTGTTCTTCACGGAGAGCTGGGCTCGGGTTTTCAATGCCTTTGAATCCAGGCGCTCTGTCTCTGGAACGGCTTCATTAAAGTCTAAGAAAAAGATATTGCAAAATAATCAGTGAGAGTCTGAAACCTTTGGAGAGTATGGACAGAGGCCACAGGAACGGATAACAAAATCTCAAGATTATCACTAACGCCAGGTAAATAACAGGTGACAACCATGGCAGCCTGTCTGGTATCCCACAGGTACCAAAAAAATCAGTGAGATTTAGGAGAAATGTACAAAGCCTAAGGAAAGAAATCAACACTAAAGATGACCAAAGCAACAATAAAAATCTAACATCCAAAGAGCATAAAACCTTTCTACAACACAATTATAAAAAGCACTCATTTGTATTTATTTATTTATTTACATGAATGCATGTTGGAATGGTGGATGGACACAGATTCAGGAGGAAGGTGTATCAAAGCTGGGAGATCTCAGAAACCAACTTAAAAAACCTACAAAAGTAAGGTACCAGGTCAAGAGAGATAACAAAAGGTGACCATCAGCATAAATTTTCTATAGTAAAAGTTACCAATAGGCTGTAAGGACTGTACCATTTTGGTCTTAATACATTTTTTTTCCACCCCAAACAGGGTTTCTGAAAATTTGGCTTATTCTTCTTTGAACTTTCTAGAAGAATTTATCCCAAGGGCAAATTTTTGATAGCTGAGGAAATAAAACAAAGACAGTCTATAAAGCAAAAAAAAAAAAAAAGGTAAACAACTGCCAGTACTTAATTTATTATATACACAAGAATATTACTCAGCCATAAAAAAGAATGAAATCTTGCCCTTTGCAAGAGCATAGTGGACCGAGAGGTATTATGCTGAGCAAAATAGGTCAGAGAAAGACAAATATTGTATGATTTCATTTATATGTACAATCTAAAAAACAAAATGAATAAACATAACAAAACAGAAACAGAGTCTTAGGTACAGAGAACAAAGAGGTGGTTGCCAGAGAGGATGTAGGTGTGGGAATGAATGACATAAGTAAGGGAGATTAAGCAGTACAAGCTTCCAGTTACAAAATAAAAGACTCAAGGGGATAAAATGTACAGAGTGGGGAATACAGTCAACAATAATATAATATCTTTTTATAGTAACAGATGGTAAGTAGACTTATTGTGATGATCATTTTGTAATGTATAAAAATATCAAATCACTGTGTTGTGCACCAGGAAATAACATAGTGTTGTAAGTCAATTACACTTAAAAAAACAAAAAACAGAAAAGAAACCTAGCCAAACAAACAGACTCACAGAAAAAGAGATCAGATTTGTAGTTACCAGTGGTGGGGGAATGGGGAAAAGGGGAATGCATGAAGGTAGTCAAAGTACTAGGGATGTAATATACAACATGACAAATACAATTAATACTGTTGTATGTTATACATGAAAGTTAAGAGAGTAAATCCTAAGGGTTCTCATCACAAGTAAAAAATATTTTTTTCTCTTTTTCTTTTATTTTGTATCTATATGAGATAACGGATGCTCACTAAACTTATTGTGGTAATCTTTTCATAATGTATGTAAAATCAAATTATTATGCTGTATGCCTTAAACTTACACAGTGCCACATGTCGATTGTATCTCAATAAAACTAGAAGAGAAAAAAATAAAGTAGAAGAGCAGAAAAATTAAAAATTAAAAAAAAAAATCCCCTCAATTTCTTTTAGTTAAAAAACTTCTAAGTTTATATTCCAAATTTATTTGTATATGCCTTTGCCTCATTTCTTTTTCCTGGACACCTTCTCTTCGAGCCAGAAACGACACTGATTTTTCAGAGGAAAATGTTTAAGTCTTTAAATAAGAAGACTCAAAGGAAAAAAGAGAGTAACGTGGAACACACACACAAAATGACCTGGTAAAGGCTGAAGGGGAGAGTCCATGCGGTTCTCTTTAGTCTGCCTCTCCCCACCCTTAATCTTGCCGCCCACAGTCTAAGTCAGGACTCAAAAGTTACCATTCTAAGAGGAAAGAGGAAAGGTTACCCATGCACACACCTAGGCACCAGGTGAGGAGGTGTTCTCAGGTTGAATTTATTTGGAATACCTACTCCCTTACATTTGCATGTGTAGCCACTTAATTAATAATCAAGTGCTTTGGGGATTTAAATTATGAAAAAGAAAAGCAAATAAACTTAGTTGCAGAAAATTAATATGTACTGATATTAATAGAGTAAAACAATTCCTCACAATAACCTTACCCCAGGAAATTCCTTTTCACAGTGTTATTATGAAAGTGTGCTCTAAATGTACTGAAAAAACAAAACAGGGAAGCACCTCCCTCAGGTTGTACTTTCCTTTCTATGGAACTTAGCACTTGGCATATGGTTCTAACACATAAAATTAAACATATCTTCCCCTAAGAGACACATCCACTGAATAACAATATTTACAGAAGGTTTGCCTTTTCATTTCCTATATTTGAAAGAAAAGCGAATATTCAGAAAAGTCACACTATTCAGGTATATCTAAAGGACAGATAAATATTTTCTAATCAGTAGTCTCTTTACTTTTCACATGTCAATGGAGAAAAAATAATTTTCCTGATCACTTTAATTTCCTCCTTCCAATAAAATCTAAACCTGCAGCTGCCCATTCAGAGTTGTGACAATCGGGAGAGAATCAACTTTACAAGTTCCTGTTTTACATATAAGACGTGGAAACACCACATGGAGGAAAGCAATAATATATTAGATACGCTGTCGTACACACATCTTACGGCTTATCTAACTCGTATCTGGGTTGTACCATCTATAACACCAAGCACTGTCATATACACCATGTCATTTCGTCCTGACAACAACTCCAGGAGACAGAGCAGCCAAGTATGCTTTTTCCTCTCCTGAAGCTCAGAGAACTTGAGTGCCCTGTCCTCAGCCACACAGGTAGTTGATGAGCTGCCACGATCATTCTAGTTTTTTGACTCCTAGGCCACTAGTCTGTGCACTCCACTTTAGCTCATGTTGAACAAGTGATTAGAATAAGATTTTAATGCACATACAGTCTAGTGTTTTTAGTTGTACATTCATATATGATGTGACTAGTCTAGGAAATTCACTTCTCCAATGGAATATTATTAATCTTCCACATACATGTTAAGAGAGCATAAAACAGGAAGACATTGAAAACTATAGAAAAATTATTTCTCAGATGGTTTCTCATTTGGTTGGTTTGATAACAGCCTTGGTTACTTGGTGACAAAAAGACCCAAGGAGGAAGCCCATTCCACTTTTGTAAACATGGCTCATTTGTAACAGAACCCCATGCCTGGGACCTAGCGTAGTCCACGACATCCAGGATTGCAGTAGCCACCTCATCACTAGGTACTGAACAAATAAAGTGAGGGAACACGAGAAGTGCTTATTGGCAAGGTTTAGAGTACAGAGAATTATTCTGGGACCTCTGGACTCATTACTGTTCAGTAATTTGCCTGGGTGCTGCTGTTGGACACCACGAAAATGGCAATCTGGTATGTTTGCTTTAATACCAGCGAGCACTGACTAGGCGCAAACTGCTGGGACACACGCGTAACTGTGTCTATTAAACATGAAGTCAGCCAGAGTCTGAAAAGCACTGCTTTAAATTCATTATCCAAGTGGCCAACAACAAACACATCACATCCAATTAACAATTTTTGAGGGCTTAAAAACAAAGATCTCAGGGCCACTGTACCATAGTAATTAATGGATTACAAATCTATAATTTGTATTCCCATCCTGAGCAGGTAGGGGAGTTGTTTTTTAAGTAAAGAATCAGACAAATGGAATGGAACTGAGAACTTTCACTTCACAGCTCTTAGACCAGAAGGAAGCTGGAAGAAATGGCCGTCCAGATGAAGCAGCTATTAGAGGTGATGTGTGGAACAGAAGGAAAATGCATACAGGACTTAACGCTGCTGGGTACCTAGAAGGGTAATCTGAAGACCACTAGAAATTACCTTTTTCTATCATGTCACATAAGAATCAGAATATTACAATTCAAGCGAACCTTAGGGATTCTAGCCCAGCCTTCTTTCTCAGATAGGAAAACCAAGGCTCACAGGTTACCAACTTGTCCACCAACTGTATCACACAATCTTTGGAAGACTGGACAGAGCTCATTTCTCAGAAGCCCACGCTCCTTCTAGAAGGTCCATCTCAAATCTGAAAGTAAACTTTAAAAGTAATCTTCTGCCTTCTTTGAAATTTCTTTTTAGCTTTACTTTGTGTTCCAAACAAAAACACCTGTCAAGGGCTAACTGCAAATTCCCAGAAGGATACAGCATGAGAAGAAAAAAAGCTGATGGATTTTATTTGACTTTGTATTTATCAAAGAAATAGAATTCTTACATAAAAAATTAGCTGTCAGTTTTGTGGATGTGGCAGGAGAAATCCAGCTGGCCGAACATTCCTAAGTCAGTACAAGGGCTGAGGTGGCCATGCTCTCTTACTGTCATTCTTGCTCTACAAAGACCTTAATCAACAGCATAGCACTGCTTTCATGACCCAGGACCCTGGGTTCTTCTACCCCTTCCCTCCAGTGTATCTTGTTCTGCTGTCCATAAGAATTAAAGGAAAATTTCCTTTTCTTCTCTCCTTTCTTCTCTATTATTTCTTTCAAACGCTTCAGACTCTGAAATAACCTATCTCTGACTCAAATGCAGCTAGAAATACAAAAGAAGAGCAGACACGAGTGGATCAATAAATACAGACAGAAAATACAGGAAAGATATGAAATAGCTAATCATAATGCAGTTTTGAGTGGGTGGGGCTCTACCTCAATATACCTGCATATTAAAACTAGCTTCAATACTGCTTCACATTGGATACTTCAGAAGAATTTAATGGATTTGATTAGATTATGATTTTAGCAGCTGTTGTGAAAAATGTTCTGTGAAATTAGGATGTTATATATCATATTACGCAGAGACTAGTTCCCTCCAGTAATGCTGTGAGTCATTCACTTTTTTCTCGAGATTGACGTTATTTTTGACGTAAGTGGAATGCTGCCCACAGATCAGATATAGGCAGCAAGTGAAGTAGTAGGAAGTAGTAGGGGA